CTTCAGGGTTTCCGGATCAACCTTCTCCGAGCCCCCTCTCTGGAGATCCTTTCAGGCAGGATCCCTTCTGAGCCCTTAGCTGAAGACCCCTGGCCTTACCGGAGGGGGGGAGAGGCTGCCACCCAAGGGGGAAACCTGGTTCGGTGCCAATGCTGGCTTAGCTTCCAAAATGACACAAAGCAGGGCATGGCTCAAGGGAGGAGGTGGAACTTTGAAGTACTTTGGAGTAAGTAAGAACAGACCCCAGCCGGGCCTAGAGTATTTCTGGTTTTCCATGGGGAAAAAAAACACACACACCTTCTCCTGCTAAATTTTCCAAAGGAAAAGAAAGGCATTTTCAAGGAAAATTGAAACCCACCCACCCAAAATAATACCTATCGACAGGAAAATCTCTCTTTTTATCCCTCCCTAGGCAGTGTCTGGTACCCATGGCCGGACCAGAGTTTCCACTTGCACGGCTTGATTTATGCATTCATTGAAGGTGTTTCCTCATCACCAAGGCGCCTTCCTTGCTTTATATTTTATTTTGCTCAAACCATCCTGAACACAGCCCACAGACCAACCCACCTGTTCTCCACCTGCCTTCCGGGCGGCTCCCCAGGGATCTGGTTTATAGGCTATAATTTTCTTTTACAACTGCATCTCACCCTCTCCTGGGGCCACGGTCACTCCTGTCCCGAGGCAGAGCAGCGAAACATGACCATGTCTGGACTACAAATCCCAGGAGGCTGTTCAGGGGATTCTGGGCATTGTAGTAATATATATATATAAGTTACATTTCTAAGCTCTGATGTCTTATTCAGTGCCTGCTCTTTCTGTTTGTGTCTCATTTTCTCCTTCTAAGATCCCAACCCCCCCCAAAAAATAAAAAAAATATAAAAACAAAACTCATGCTGGGAGTTTAAAAGAGAAAAAGCACACCCTTTCTGATAATCTGAAGCTTCCTTCTGGGGGACGTTGTCTTTCATTCTCGGTTTGTGTCATACCTCATTGTCTGGAAGCCTGCGTCTCCTTCCTCTATTTCGATCTCTTTGCATCTTAACACGGGGGGGGGGACGCAGGGCTTGGTGAGAGCCTGCCTTACATTTGCACATGTTAAGATCTTAAAAGGACGAGAAGGATCAGAAAAAGAAGCAGGAGAGAAAGAACAAACGAGATTCTTCAGGGGTTAAACCTTGGGCCACACACCCCCACTAACACCCCCCACCACCACTTTTTACTACCCCATCCAGCTCCGGCTACCAGACGGTGAGAAGTCCTGGAAAAGTTAATTGGGTCTGTTCGGGTTGCCCGCATTTCCCAGTTGTCATCCTGGCTGAGGAATTCTGGAGGAAAGCGTACTTTTTTTAAAAGACCTTTTTTTTCTAACCCTCTTCCTCCCCCCCCGCCGGCCTGGGTTGAAAACACGGGGGGGGGGGTCCAGACAGGTAGACTCTGAACAGGATGCCCAGAACTGGTGCCCAGTTAATCATAAGCCGCTCCCTTTTCCTTTCTGTTCTTCGCTCCTCCGCTGCTTTCCTGGACGATCCGGCTTTTCTCGGATGTCCCTGGAACTCCTTGCTCAGCACCTCCAGAAGCGAAAGTGCGGCTCAGGAGGAGAGAAGGAGGGGACCCCGTCCTCCTCTCTGAAGCCCAGGGTGGTGGTGGGGGTGGGGGTTGGCTGGCCAAAAAGGCCTTGGAGCGGGTGAGCGTGACCTTCGGCAAGCAGGCTGACAGGCCCACCTTGTCTGGCTGGCGTTGTCCCAGCACAGCTGGAAGTCGTGCCTTTCCTCCTGGAGGCCCCTCTAGTCCGGCCCTTCCCCTGACAAGGGCCGACCCCCCCCCAAAACAAACGCCGGCTGCTGCTGGAATCATCCCTACCAAGGCGTGAGTGCGAGCGGGTCTCCTTTCCCCGCCGGGGAGCGGGTCTTTTGTAAAGCCAATGGCTCCTAATGGCCCCTCCGAGACCACAACGCGCTCCGGGCTTTTGCCGCATGAAAGGGGTCAC